CTATTTCTATGGACCATCTATACCATGGCTATGTTAAATAACCAGGTTGGGTACTTGGATTTGCTGAAGATGATTTTTTATGTTCTATGGTTTATGACTGGGTAAACCATCTATAAATGAATAATCCATGGTTGATATATGGATAATCTATGGTTAATGGTGAATAGTTACCCTCTGGTAAACGTACAAAAAGCTATTGAACATGGCACATTTATAGTGGATTTTCCCCATTAAAAATGCTAATTTTCCCATAGTTATGTTAGTTAATGTTAAATAACCAACGGGTATTCTCCAAACGGATGGAAAGGAGACGCAGGCGAAGAGAAAAAAATGGGGGTCGGGGAGGCGGCCAAGGCTACAATTCGGGGCCGGGGGCAAAGCTGCTGGGAACCCTCCAGGCAAGGATTTGGATACCGCAGTATATATATATATAATATTATTTATATATAATGTTATATATATAAACTATAATATATATATATATATAAACTGTATATATATATATATTTGTATATATATATATATATATATTTGTATATATATATATACAAACTGTATATATATTATATATATATATATATATATAGCATTTAAACTGTATATATCATATAGGAATTACTCTATACTTATCGGGAATATCCATCTCAAAAGGTATCCCTCAATCATATTGTTGGTTATAGGCGTACAAAGTGAATCATTTTATAGGAACATGGTAGCGAAATGTAGAGTATATATACATATGTAAATACATAATATGGAGATGTAACCAACACTATGATATTTGAGGTATGCCCTTGGTATAAAAGTATTAATCATTATTTAAAAAATATATAAGCATAATGATGATTGGAGGAATAACAATAATAATAGGGACACTGATATATGATTTCAATCTAAAGGAATTTCAATCAATGAAGAGATAACCATATGCATAATCCCATCACAATTTGCCATTCTTTCTATTTGATAGGATAAAAACCGAGATATACATTGATTTCTGCAAATCCACATTCCACATGTATTTTTTCATCATTTCAAAATGATCAGATATACCCTCTGGTAAACTAACATAACTATAAAAATTCACCATTTTTAATAGGAAAATTCACTATTTCAATGGCCATTTTCAATAGCTTTTTGTATGTTTACCAGAGGGTAAACCTCCATTTTCCTATGGTTTTCCTATGGTTTTCCGGGTACAAAATTTCGGTTTAATTTGTGACAAAAATCCCTGGATTTCGTGCATGGGGTGGAAGAAAAAATCCATCGTCCCATGTCGAGTTCCGTTTTGGTGTCACTCCCCAAGGGAACATTGCCATGGATAGAAAATCATTACCCTCTGGTGAACATACAAAAAGCAATGGAAAATGGCCATAGAAATAGTGGATTTTCCCATGAAAAATGGTGGATCTTTCCATTGCTATGTTAGTTCACCAGAGGGTATAATAACCAGAAAAACGATGGTTTTCTATACGAGTGTTCTATAAATCATTATAATGTCACTGCCGAAGAATGGGGAGTTTGAAAAGGGGACGACAATAAGAGGGGAGTGCAATTTTAATATCCCCATTGTCGACTGTTGTCTCAAGGATAGCTCCGACCACCATCTTTTGCTGCGCAGCAATGAGTCTGACTGGATTGAGTACAATAACCGCGCACATGGAGAGGTCTTTATAATATTATATATATATATATTAAGTTAAGAATCACATAGCTATTAACCATTGTGAACCACTGATAATGTTAAGTTATTGACTTAGTATTATCACTTATTATGATAACTAAGTGATGTTTAATAACCATTTAAAATCCATGAGGATCTGTTAAAACATTTAGACGTCCATGGTCTTATTAAAATACAATGACACGAGATGTTTTCAAAATCCCTCCAAAATCCATGAAAAAAATCACTTTTCAAGTATATGTTTGCCATCATTTAGTTTTGATGACAATATGCTGGTTGGTGGTTTCAACCAATTTTTATTTTCCATCATATATGGGATCATCCTTCCCATTGACTTTCATATTGTTCAGAGGGGTAGGTCAACCACCAACCAGCCATCATTATCCAATGATTAACCATCATTAACCACTATGAACCACTATTAACTAAAACTAACCACTATTAACCATCATTAACCACTATTTAACCATCATTAACCACTATTTAACCATCATTAACCACTATTTAACTATCATTAACCACTATTTAACTATCATTAACCACTATTTAACCACCATTAACCACTATTTAACTATCATTAACCACTATTTAACCATCATTAACCACTATTTAACTATCATTAACCACTATTTAACCATCATTAACCACTATTTAACCACCATTAACCACTATTTAACTACCATTAACCACTATTTAACCACCATTAACCACTATTTAACCACCATTAACCACTATTTAACCACCATTAACCACTATTTAACCACCATTAACCACTATTTAACCACCATTAACCACTATTTAACCACCATTAACCACTATTTAACCACCATTAACCACTATTTCACCACCATTAACCACTATTTTAAACCACCCATTAAACCACTATTTAACCACCATTAACCACTATTTAACCACCATTAACCCCTATTTAACCACCATTAACCACTATTTAACCACCATTAACCCCTATTTAACCACCATTAACCACTATTTAACCACCATTAACCACTATTTAACCACCATTAACCACTATTTAACCACCATTAACCACTATTTAACCACCATTAACCACTATTTAACCACCATTAACCACTATTTAACCACCATTAACCACTATTTAACCACCATTAACCACTATTTAACCACCATGAACCACTATTTAACCACCATGAACCACTATTTAACCACCATTAACCACTATTTAACCACCATTAACCACTATTTAACCACCATTAACCACTATTTAACCACCATTAACCACTATTTAACCACCATTAACCACTATTAACTATCACTAGACAGTACTGGATTCCAATCAAGGCCTGGGGATTCCTTCGGGGAGTTGGCCTTGCTCTACAGCGTCCCTTCCTCCGTGCCTTGGAGTCCGCGGGCATTCCTTTGGATTCCTTGGAAAACCATAGGAAAACCATAGGAAAATGGATGTTTTTAATGGAAAACCCATAGGAAAACTCTAGGAAAACTATAGGTGATTTAATGGTGATTTAATGAGATTTAATTGGTATAATTAATTGGAATTAATGGTAAACCTACAAAAAGCTATTGAAAACTGCCATAGATTTATAGTGGATTTACCCAGCTAGAAAATGGTGGATCTTTCCATAGTTATGTAACAGTTTACCAGAGGGTAATCATGGTACAATTGTGTATATATATATATCCCATAGGATCCATGGTGCTGCTATATATGGTAACATGGATCCCATCAATATACCCCCTTTATGTTAGCATATATACCAGCACCATGGATCCGTCATGGGTATAGATAGATAGATAGATAGATATTTATACATACATATAATTATAGATATTAGCAACATACAATTATATATAGATACCATCTGGTTATGACTAACAGTTTGCCATGGAAAGATCCACCATGCTATTAAGAACGGTAAACCAGCTATAAATCGATGGGCCATTTGAGAATGGGAATCTGAGACCCTTGAGTTGGGTATATCTACAATGTGGTCTGGACATTATAGAATGGGAATGAAGGGAATGATGGTGTATATAATCGGATAATGATGGGATATAGTATAATGGGATAATGTATATAATGTATGTAATGGGATAATGATGGTGTATATAGTGGGATCTGGATAAATTATAACGACCTCACTGTTCTCCCTCACTGGAATCATAGTTAATAAGGGAAATCATCCCCAAATGGCCGCAAGATTCAGGTGAACGTGAAATATTATAATTTACCCAGAATGTGGGGCCCCCGTTCGATAGCTAAGTTGGGGTTCACATAACTCCAAGAATTCTATGGTTTATGGTACTTATAACTATAGTTACTGG